TCATTCCTCATTTTTATAAATTAACCGAGTTTTTTTCTCTCTTTATAATGACAGCTGTTAAGTGATTACTATTCACTGAGGTCATTAAGTGTGTTATCTATCATCATCGCCTTCAGTTCACACATGATTGACAATTTTGCATTGGTAGTCCAAAGTCCGTGTCCTGTTTTATAGAATCGTAGAATTAATGTACTTATTAAAGGGGGTTAAACTGTTTTATGAACGTGTAGTCATGAGGTTTTGACAAGGAATAGACATCTAGTATATTATACAAGGCTTACATAACCATTTTATCTTAAAAGCATGGCAGTAACTACAGTTTAGCCTCTAATTAGAATACAGTTCGTTTAAGATTTAAAATAAAATTCGCAGAAATAACAGCTACTTAATTATCTAGCAACCACTTTTGATTTGAAAGTATTAATGTTAAAGACGAAATCTGCCCATGTAACATACTTAGATACTTTTTCGGTGAAGATAGATAAACTTTATTGTGGAAAGTGTGGCAATGAACAGATTATAATGTCTCATTATGACTCTTGCTAGAAGTCACTGGTGAGCATGTAATTAGTTTTAAAATGTCGCTTTGTAAGGATATAACCGACTTTAAGTTTGCTGCTACACTGATATCAGTTAGAGAACCAATGACTACTGGACAACTGTTTTGAATTAGTTTAGGATTTTTCGACATTGTGCACCGATGGCCTCCTAATGGGGAATAGGATTGAGGACTTTCTACCCATAAGGATTGTTAGGAAGAGGCAAAACACATACAATAATCAGGTCATTATCATCTCTCAGTCAAGTTATTATCGCGTTATTAACAAGTCGTTGACACGCAATTGTTCCTGCTTCTGATTGGACGCTTGCACAATTCGAACCCTAAACCGGATTGGTTGATTTCCAGTCTAGCTTATTTTCTGTATAAATACAGTCACTTTTGTCATAATAAATGAACCTGGTTTTACCGTTGATTCTCTTCGTGTTCTGCTTCACCAGTTAAATGGGTACTGGTCAGTAGTTAAGCAGTGACCGCGTGACAAAGGACCCAGCATCATAACAATTGGCGACGGGGTTTCGAATTCATTGCAGTTCAATACAGTCAAATAAAACCCAGATCATCCAGTGTACATCCAGTCTGTCTTCCAAATGACAATTTCATTTGAACAAATGCAACTTCTCCTTCATCAACAACAGCAACAGTTTGAAGCTTGCCAGCTTAACTTGATTGAAAAACTTACAAAGCAGTTTTCGATTCAAAATCTCAGCAGTTCCAACTCAGAGAAAACCGAATCTATTGGGAGTTCAATTTCGAACCTTCAATAGGTGTGACTTTTGAAGCTTGGTTTCGACGTTATGAAGATCTGTTCCGGGTTGAATACGCTCACCTAGATGATTCGGTCAAAGTGAGACTACTCCTTCGGAAACTTGGTCCAGCCGAACATAACAAATATGTCAATCATATTCTACCAAAGAACTCCAGAGAACTCAACTTTGAAGAAACCGTTCAAACGTTAACCAATATTTTCGGTGAACAGTAGTTATCTCTCTTCAGTATCCGTTACAATTGTTTCAAGATATGCAAAGATCCAGGAGATGATATTCTCACCTATGCTGGTAAGGTGAATCGTGAATGCGAGCGATCGAAGATTCGATCACTTACGGATGACCAGTTTAAATGCCTGATCTTTGTCTGCGGTCTCAAATCTTCGGTTGACAGTGATATTCGTACCCGAATCCTTGCAGAGATTGAACGCAATCCGGACATGACTTTACAGGAGGTAACTGCTGAGTGCCAGCGAATCATCAATCTAAAGCATGACACGAAGTTGACTGAGGACGGTCAAGTTCATGAATTTACTTCTGTTCAGGCTGTCAAGTCAAACACAAGCTTCCCACAAATTGTTGGTTTTGTGGATCGTGGCATTTTGGTAAATTTTGCCTGAATAAAAGACATAAATGCAGTATCTGTAACAAGTATGGTCACAAGGAAGGATTTTGTCCCCCAGTGAAACCTAGATCAATCCGATCTCACAATACGAAGGCACAGTCACGAAAGTTTCGATCTCAGTCGACGAAACCTCAAATCAGCAGTATGTTCGCTACCTTCAAAGTTGACTTCGAGTCAAAAAGAAAGTTCGTCACACTTTCTATCAACCAGAAGCCAGTTCGACTACAGTTAGATACTGCTTCAGATATCACAATCATATCTCCCCAGACGTGGCGGGCACTCGGGCGTCCACCTTATCAGAGAACGGAGCATACCGCAAGAAACGTGTCGGGTGACGTAATGAAATTATCTGGCCATGTTGAATGCGACTTAACTTTCCGGTCGACCTCGTTCCAAGGAACATGCTACATCACCAATCGTCATGATTTGAACTAGCTTGGTATTGACTGGATCGAAAAGATGAAACTCTGGGATGTCCCACTGAACTCAGTTTGTTCCAGTGTACAGTTCTCAGATAGTCCTACCAAAATGTTGATGCATCCGACCTCGATCGCAAAGTTCATCAGTCATCTTCGCACCAAACATGCTACCGTTTTTCAAGAGTCTTTGGGTTTCTGTACCGTACAAAAAGCCAAATTATACCTCAAACCTGATGCCAAACCAGTTTTTAGACCAAAACGCCCAGTACCATATGCCGCATTATCGTCCCTTGATGCAGAGCTGGATCGTTTAGAAAAGTTGAATGTAATCAAGCCAGTCGATTACTCATCCTGGGTTGTCAACAAAGCAAACGGTACCATCAGACTTTGTACTGATTTCTCAACAGGACTCAATAATGCCCTTGAAGATCAATCGTATCCACTACCAGTACCGCAAGATCTGTTTGTCAAACTGAATGGCGGTAAATACTTGAGTAAACTTGATCTAGCTGAGGCATACCTACAGATCGAATTCGAGGATGATTCTAAAGAGCTTCTGACAATCAACACTCACAAAGGACTGTATCAGTTCCAGCGACTTCCATATGGTGTTAAACCTGCTCCTGCTATATTCCAACAGATAATGGATGCAATATTAGCTGGTATATCGGGAGTGGCCGTTTACCAGTGTGTCAGCAATTCAACAGATGCCTGCCCCTCATAATCTCATTACGTTGCAGTCCTTCCTGGGGATGATCAATTACTATAGTGCGTTCCTGCCAGATTTACATCGTCTCAGGGCCCCAATGAATCAGTTGCTCATGAAGAATGCTAAACTTTTTTATTTTTTATTACAGCTTGATGCCACACCGTACTTTCAGTACAAGTATGGAATTTTCAGCATGGATATCGGTAGCTATCTCTTTGTTACCAATCCTTTCCGACTGGTCACCTGGTTTCCAGTATGGAGCGAGAGAGGCGCCTGTTGATAAAAGTTTGCAGATTATTAGAAATGCCAAGTCTCTGAATCATATAGAAGAACTGACTTGTCACTAATGTCGAAAATCCGAATTTCGTTCTTTATGCTAAGTGCAGTAGATTTCCGCAATGATTTCAGATTAATGAAGGTCTGTGGTACTTTTCCGATCCTGACTGGCTTTGACACCTTAATTCGTTCTAACTGTAGTCGAAAAGATGCTGCCCGATCTAATGACCTCTTTCAAATTTCTTCCGTTAGTAGTGATTAGCGCTTGTTGTAGTTGGTTAGTGGATATCTTCATCGCCTCTGCTTTATCTACGTTCACTTGAAGCTGTGTCTTCGCTGCTTCTTCTGCCGAATTAGTGGTTTTCGCCTGTAGATCTTCAAGTTTGTGTAACATTCGATAAATAATCCATAAAGTCCATATCTTCTAGATTGTTCTTACCGGTCCAACGTACTCCTGTTTTCTCGTTCCCCACAGTCTTCCATATGATCTAATCCCACCACAATCAGAAATATCAACGGTGACAGTAAGTAGGCTTGTCTTATCCCTATCTTCACATCAAGCGCTTCGCTGAGCTTTCCGTGGTGCATCACTTGGCATCACTAACTAATTGGTGAATGAGGTTCATTAGACATAAGGTATGATATAAAGTGAATTACAGAATGTCGCAAACCAAAAAATCAGTAGGCATATGAAACACATATATATATGTAATGGCAGAAGATGAGAGAACTGGTAACGAACTATATTTATCAAGGAAAAAACACATCATATTTATACATTTTTAACCACATTAAAAGTCAGCTAGATCGACAGATAATAGATTGTTCTGATTGGTTTGCCAATGACCGAAGGTGAAACAAAGGGACAGGTAGTCGTCGTCCAATGAGATTGTTTCCAGATCGCAGTGTAAACTAAATCCAAATTTTGAGGAATATATACTTCTATCCGTGCAGTCACTGACTTAAACGTTGATTTCAATTTTTGACCGCTTTCTATATATGGAAGACGCCACATATGCATACATCCATGTTTCCCTAAACCAAAAGCAATACGCCAAACTAAGAGGAGAACATGATGGGGAAATTCATTCTGCTCAGGAATTACTCCCCTCACTGAGAATAAACTACCTGAATTTTTAACATCACTTATTAATAAGGTGTCATGTGTGACAAAAGTGGCCATATAATGAACCCAGGTTCTCACTTGGATTATCTATCGCATCTTTTTAAGTGAAGAAGTTAGCCAAAGTGACATTGTGAAATAACAACAAGAAAAAAAAAAACAAAGATACAAGAGAGAGAGAAAAAATATATATACCATGTTATCACTTACACTTTGTTACACATCAGACAGAGCTTACTTACTTATTATTATTTAAAATACATACACTACATTATCATAATAATAATAATGTGCATGTGTTTATAGATTACATCTTTAATAATAATAATAATAGCATGCACACACGCAAACACACACACATATACATACACAGTATAATATATGATTATATATAAGTAAGTAGGTACACACGCGTGATAACATATGAAAGACGAACCAATAAGAAATAATAATGGAGGGAAACAAAATGCTGTAAAGGAGATTAAGTTTTCGACTACTTTTGTTTTGGTATATATATATATATATATATATATAACACTGAATTTGTATTTAGGCGCTCCACATTACATAATACATTTAGAGTGTGCGTGGGTGTGTGTGTGTGTGCGTGCGTGGGTGTGTTCGACAGAAGAAAAACAGCATAGGAATGGTAAAACAGAGGGGGGAAAAAACAATGCTGACGAGTCATTACACAGGATAATTAATTATAAACAAACAAAAAACAAAAATGTTTTTTAAAAAGCTGATATGCTCAAAAAGACAGGAGGAGGATACACACACAAAACACAATGCCTCAATTTTGTCTGTTACCAATCGGAGAGGAGTACAGGAGACACAAACACACACATACACACATAGGAAAAAAGTATATTTGACTATAGAGTAGTAGTAGTAGTAGTAGTAAACTGGATGCAAATAGAATAAAATAGAACAAACAAAAAACAATTGGAAATTGAACACATACATAACATGCACATTGAACGCGCAAACACTCTACTCAAGGGATATAGGGGATAAGTTAGATAGATAGATATACCTCTATCATCATCTATCCTCTATCTTAGTGAAACAACAAGCAGAAAATACTTTTTTGTTTTAATTATTTTTTTTAAACAGTGAATAAATTAACTACAAGATGTCTAAGACAGACAAAGGATAACACACAGAGTTACTTTATCAGATTGAAAATGACTATATATATAGAGAGAGAGAGAGAAAGGGAGACAGAAGGGAAGGCGTATTCAAGAGTTATATATACGTATATGACTGTGTGTTTCGGTGTGTGTGTGTGTGTATGTGTACAGAAATTCACAACAAGTGAAAGCCTAAGAGAGAAAAAAATAATAATAATAATGAAAAGTAGTTCAACATCGGCTCTGTTATGATGACAATTCTGATGATGATGACGACGAGGATGATGATGATGAACATCAAAATAGTGATGATTGTCGTTTACGTGGAATAGTCTGAATTCCACGGGATCTCACTCTCTCTGTGTCTCTCTGCGGTTATAGTTGTTTATCTTTGTACATACGCATCATTTTGATGATTGATTAGCAGATCAATTTATTTGTGTGAATGACATACTTTCAGGGAAACCTGAGTACTCAAACTATTTTTAGGTGTTTGTGTGGGGGTGTGCGTGTATATATTTGTATATGCACCATTATCATCCTTCTGTTGAACTTCGACAAAACAACTAACTGACCAACAACACTGTCTCTATTGTATATAAAGACATACAAATAAACAAAATTTAATGATGTGAATTAGAATATATAAATGTGTAGAGTCGACATGTTGTTTAACTAGTGACAACATCTTGAACTTCTTTTAATTCAGATTCTTTCTGAAAAGAATCTTTTGATTGTTGAGGTATATCAGTTTGGCTATTATTATCGTTGTTATTATTATTAGGGTTATTGTTATCTGATGTAGCTTGTAAATTATCTGAACTACCAGAAGGTGCAATGATTCCTAATCTAATCTCTGAATCTGACAGTTTATTATTCCCGCCTTCTGATGTGCTAGAAGTAGTATCATGATCTTTACCCAACAGATCACCACAACCAGTATCTGTTCCATCTGATGATTGATTGCTATGTTGATGTTGTTGTTGTTGTTCCGCCGTTGACGTTCCTGAAGTAGGTGGTACAGCAGACGATTCAGATCCTCCAGCTCCTCCAGACGACCGTGAAGGTGAAAGGAATTTGTACATATCATCTCGCATTGTCATTTCTAAAGAGTTGGATTAAAAAAAATAACAAGAACGCAACTAGAAGTGGAGTATATTTGTCATTACCTATTTTTACTTTTCATACAAGCAACAGTAACAATGAATTACCACTCTTGTCTAAAACGTATAAATAATAGCTCAATACGCCGCGAAAATTTCCCTACTTAATTAGTCCCAGCAAAGATCAGTGATACTTATGCGTTAATTGTACTTAAGTGCTAGTACTAGTGCGGCGTGTGTTACTGATAAGATTTATCAGTAGCATATAAAGAGGCGTTCATCGACACACAAAAAAAAACATAAAATAATGGAGAGATAAATTTGACGTCAAAAAGAGCAAATGAACCGGTGTTAAGGCAACACATAGGATACACGGAAAGAAGACAAATAAACACAATACGAAGGGCGGAATTAGTAGAACACGGAAGATCTGTGCAAATGACGAGTTGGAGATAAGGTGTACATAGTTTCGCTATATAGACATACCAAATTCAAAATAAACGCGCTGTTACCAAGCCGCCTATCTTACGTAGTAGGAACCAGCGGCTTGAGACTGTTGATGATGTGGTTCAAAATCCTTCTCAATGGTGCAGAAGCATTCATTCTTTGTAACCATCTCTCAAACGTTTTGAGTCCATATCGTTTTCCATATTACCTTACTTTTGATGTGTAGATAGATAAACAATGGATTATCCTTTTATGGATATCTCCCACGCATACGGCATGCATACATCCCTTTATGGACATGTCTTAAGCCTACGTCAATGGCCATGAATATATATATATATATATATTCTTTTGTAAATATTCTGTGGTTGATACTGAAATATGCTTTCCACCTCATATTGTTGTGTGTTCTCGGTTAAGTAGTGCGGGGGCTGAGGTAGCTGTAGTATACGATGATGGAGTAGCCTAACGATATTGTGTGATTACATCGGCTGTGTGCCAGTTCCCGGCGTCCTTATTCAATTCAATGTATTGCAAATATAAAAGTGGCGATATCATAACATCTTTCCCTCGTATATTTCTGCTCATCATACTTCTTCAGAGGTATTATTCTTCCGTCCCCCTACCTCAGTGTGCTATACATGCAGTGTGGCAAATTAAATCGCCGCACTTCCTTGCAAAGTTCTATACTGAAACGCAATCCGGTAGTTAGTCCATGTGCGTCGGTGGCACAGTGGTTAGGACTTTCGCCGATCATGCACATGGTCCGGGGTTCGATCCCCTGCCGACGCAAACCTGATATCAATGGTCGGCCTGCAAAATTTGGGCTACCGATATCGTATGCTGAGAATTCCATACTTGTACCGAAAATACGGTGTGGAATCAAGCTGTAATCAAAAAAAATATCCCTGCCGTCGCTTCGTCTGAACATGATAAAATGACATTGCAGTTAATTGGCTTACAAAACTAGCTTATTTTCAACCTTTTGAATACTAACCAATTAAGAATACTGATAAAAATCCTTACTAACCTTAATCATTATTGAAAAATATGAGCCAATTATGATACAAACTCACGCAGTAGCAGCATTACTGATGATAAGTGATTTAAGCATTTAAGAAGAAGAACAACATATCATTAAAATAAAATAACACTAACCGTATGGTATTAAATTAAACAATGGAGGTAGAGGTCTATCATTAGGCAGTGTAGTCTCTTCTTGTCTTAATTCATCGAAGAAACTATGCAAACAAGCATCTAATGGTTCTAAACGCTTTGAAGGTGTATAGTCGAGTAGTTGTGATACTAATTGAATAGCTTCTGATGGAACACGAGGACGAAAAACCTTGACAAAAGGGTATTTTTAAGAAGAAGAAGTAGTAGAGAAAAGAAATCGATGCACTTATGTTATATTATATAAAAGAATAATTAAATATAATCAGTGTAAAAATACTTAAGCATATAAGAAATACTCTGAAATATAAATCATAATTTGAGATATCATGATGTATATCATCTACTTTGTAATGCACGTGATAATTTTTTTATTATAACAGCCACTAGTCAGTCAGTAATTGTAAGACTAAAAGTAAATCTCTGCTTATGTTTCTTTCATTATAAGATTTTGGTACATTAAAAAAATTGATATCCTATGATATAATTAATATATGCACAAAAGCATAAAAAGATAATTTATATGCACAAAAAAAAGTCTGAAAGATAAGAGACGAAAGTAAAATAGATGTATCTTGTACTTGTGTCAAGATAAAGTTTATTTTAATGAAAAATAATCGATCACAACGAGCGTATATTATAGTTACACCGTTACAACCATTTTAATTACCAAGCAAAAAACATGTTATATACATACATATGAACAGTGATCCATGGTAACATGTGATCAATTGTCATGTATATATATATATATATATATATATATATATAACAAGGTATTTGATCACATTTTATTGTGAATACACATGTTCTGTAGATATTCATAAAAATCAATTAATTCCCGAAAGTGGACATATGAAGAGCCGCCACATGTCCTCTTTTCTCTTTGTTATACACTAATACTTCAGGTTCAAAAGTCAAACAGACTTTCTGCTACAGTTTTCTAACGTCAACCGAATTGTAAAAAATGTCTAGCAATTATGTTGATATCTTTCTTGAACACCTGGATTGATCATAGGTGTCTGCGTTCTGTTCCCAGTGTTAAGTGGTACAGTAAGGTGAGTGATATTGAGGTTAGGCTTCAGTCGAGTGCTAGGTAAGGAGGGGAAATCAATCCACGAGGTTGAGAAGTCACACCGATTGAGATGGTTAGGAGATGTACTACGTATGCCTAGCCATAGCCTTCCTCGACCTACGGGCAATGTTAGCTGACATAGGATGGATCAGGTTGGAAGAGAGCCAGTGGTGGTTAAACCAAAACATGGCTTCATCAGTCAATGGAAATCACAAAAGTTTGTTTAAGCCACTTGGGGAGGTGCAGACCTCTTGACTAGTTGGGGTCCTCGGGATGGTAAAAGGCAATGAAGGCTGGGGACAATTGATATTATGACTAAAAGTCTTTCTCAATGGTTGGCGCAGACGCATTCACAATTTGTGATCTGCCATATCTAATAAAACTCTATTGTTCTTTCATATTATCATTCTTTTTCCCTCACTGACACTTCTGTTTGTTATCTCTCTTTCGAAACTCTCTTTTCCCTGTTCTCTTGCTTTGTGTGGTACATGGAGTGTGGCAACTCGAAGTGGTGCACATCTATTTGTGCAAAGTTCTGCGTTGAAACTTTGATTGAACACTCACTAGTAAGTAACTAAAGTCATAGGTCGAGTTCTTTGTTTGGTGTAGACTGAATTCTATCAGTCAAGTTTACAATGTAGTCATCACGCTAGGTGACTCATCATCACGGTGTACACACTGAATTATTGTTGTTAGATTAGTTGGAGGCGATCAGCAGTAAGCCTTGCATCACCTAGGTTTCGTGTTGGTTGGCATTCACCAGTCAGCAAGGCGTGTGTCTGTAACCTTGAAGGAACTCATGTACCCGCTGAGATTCGAACCTATATTACCACCACCCAGTGATGCAATCAGTAAAGTTACCATTGAGTTATTCGGCATTACAATTGACGAGTGCCAACAAGCACGAAACCTAGGTAAGCAAAACTTTCTGCCGATCGCCTCTAACCATCTTGAATAACAGTAGTTTAGTTTTTTCAGAATACGTTGATATGTATAATGGATCCACTTAGAACTTACTAAAGAAGTGGATCGGTGTTTTAAAAAAGGCGATGTTTTAAAAAACACTGTTCAACGTAATAATCAAAAATATGGCTTTTAATGTAATATTATTCGATTTGAAGCACATTTCAACCACAACCCTACACCACTACCACTGTATTTTCTTTCAGGCGAAATGCACAGCAATAGGTTGAATATTATTTGAAAATGAGCAGTAGTACAAACGATGACTTAAAGTCGTAATTGAATGGACTATGCTGGCGTAGACGTGATATCTGACTATCGACCAAAGGGCGTGTGTACTGCTCATCAGTCCGATCCGTCCTCCTTTATGGCTGTGAGACCTGACCATTGAGAGTGGAAGACATGAAAATGTTTAGCTGTCTTTGATCGTAGGTGCCTGCGTTCTATCTCCCGTGTGAAGTGGTATAATAAGGCGAGCAATATTGAGGTTAGGCATCGAGTTCTAGGTAAGGCGGGGAAATCAATCGACGAGGCTGTGAAATTACATCGACTGAGGTGGTCGGGACATGTGTTATGCATGCACGCCTAGTTATCGCCTTCCTCGACGGGAAATGTTAGCTGACATAGGGTCAGGCTGGAAAGGAGCTAGCGGCGGTCAAACGAAAACATGGCACCAGTCAATGAAATCTACAACAGTTAGTCTAGGCTACGTAGGAAGGTGTAGACTTCCTGGTTGAGCTCCTCGGGACGGTAAAAACCAATGGTTGGAAACAATTAGTGACATGGCTCAAAATCGTTCTGAGTGGCGCAGATGCATCCACTCCTTGTGACTTATTATTTCCAATGAAACTCTATTGTTCTTCGTTATTACTATACCTTTGTCTCACACCTCTGTTTACTGTCTATATTATGCATTTCTCTTACTTTCTTCTCTTGGTTTGTGAGCTACATGGAGTGTGGCGACATGAACTGCCGCACGTATGTGCAAAGTTCTATGTCGAAAACAGACAGACAGACTATGGTGGATGAAAAATTAGACAACCTAATGGTTAGTTTGAGCACTCCGTCAAATAGACGATTAATAGACGATTCTCACAATCATCAAAATACCAATCTAGTGAAGTAATCGATTGACTTTCGACTTTTATTCCTTCCACGTTGTGTTTCGAGGGACTCATCATCACTGCTCTGACCCGTGACTACATAACCTATTATTTTATACTAGTGAATTCAGTTGGTATCATAATCAGCATGGTATATTAAAAAAGACAACTTACAAGCCTCCCAGTTCATTTAGTTTATAAACATGTAACTATGAAATGCATTCTATTAAGCGTAAATACGCTGATCAAACACACTAATGGTTTCTACTTATGCATTGAAATTTTGTGCATATTGAATTGTGTGAATATTTTTGTCAAATAAAATTAGGCATAAGATATATACAACATATAAGATATTTTTGTAGAGAAACACATTATCCTTTATTCTTACTTTTGACCATGAATGTGGTTTAATTTGTGGGAATTTAAATTCTCTGTAATCAGGATTCATTTCATGAATTTGTTCACGTGATGGTGTGCCTAGAACTTTGATAATTTCAACCAGTTGGTCGACACCACTTTCTCCAGGGAAAATTGGTTGTCCAAGAAGAAGTTCTGCAAGCACACAACCAGCTGACCAGACGTCTGTAAGTGTTATGAAATATAATCGAAATATGGGATAGTGAAAAAAATCTATAATAATGCTGTAATACCACCGATGAGTAATAAATACACTTGATCTCAAAGATGAAAAGCGTTTATAGATGTAAAGTAATAAGTAGGCAAGACATGCCTTGACTGGTTACAGGATTTCGTCATGAGCTGATATTGGTTAGAGAACCATTGGAAAACCAACAGGGAGTACTGGACAGTTGTTTCGTCCGTCGTAGTTTGGGACTCTTCATTGGTACGCACCCATCGCCAGGGTTCGAACCCAGGACCTTCTGGTTACAAGGCTAGCGAGCTCGTAGACCATTAAGCCACTGGGACCCAATCCAATGGCCAACCCATGAATTCTAACTTCTGCCAATTCACGACATAGCGCGACCGCTAGCCAATGTCTTCGGCGAGTATTTGTTCTCACACCCGACCTGATGCACCCCACTGATCACAGCTTCCCACTAGAACCCCAGGTAACTACCTACCTGAATAGGGCCAGTCGCCAGTAAACATATCATTGATTTTCAAGCATTGGTTTGTAGGGATTTGATTGATTGGTTACAGGATTTCATCATGAGCTGACATTGGTTAGAAAACCATTGGAAAACCTACAAACCAATACTTGAATATAAAGACATGCTTTCATGACTTCCTGATAATAGAATCTAAGAGCTAATTAGTGGGTGTAGTATCAGGTTGGTTAAGCTTAGTGAATATTCATAAAATCCCTACTTGTTCTGTGCTGTTGTTCAAGAACAGCATGTAAGCTTTTCACAAGAGGTTCATGAAGCAACGGAAGTCAATAATAAAAGAAAATACATAAAATAAGATCCAAAATCATTTATAGTGGAGTACATACATCATAGCTAATCCTTGATAAAATTATTACCGCATTTTACTTCTTTTTTTTCGTAGTCTGCTTACAGTTGACAAAATTATCACTGACTTCTCAACACTATGTATCGTTTTTCAAATATGCAAGGTGTTGAATCTATTTCTGTTCCTACCTTTAAGTCATCCATATTAAGCTCGTACAAATAAGGTAAGACGTATCATGTTTTATTTAGTTCTGACTGATTTCCAATAAAGAATGGACAGTTCAAGAATATGGCAGTAAGCCACACCTAGAGTGCGGAGCTTATTATACTACTTGTGTAACAACAGAAGGCAAGAATCAGGCAACAGATCATTTATTAAGGAAATCAACGCATATTTATATATGTTTTCATGTACATTACTATGAATATTTAAGCAAACAAACACAGTCTTCCGATTGGTTGTTTCTCACGTAAAGTTAATCTTTCATCTATTTGTGACTGTTTCTTGAATGTCAAATCCTCTATATGTTAACTGCATCCGCCTACGCAAAGTCAATCTTTGTTCACATTTTCTCACGATAAATCTTGGGAACGTAAATATTGACGTAAATTACTGTCTACCAATTTGGCTAGTAGACAGCTCTCACCACACTTGGATGCCGAAAACCCGGTAGATGGAGCAGTGATTGAACTCATGGCCTTGGAAGTTGGGGGCATAAACCAGTAGGTCACAGCCCTTAAGTATATATATATATATACATATATATATATATTTCAAGAGTATAGTTTACAACGATTTGTTATCTACAATTATATGCGGGTTAATAAACTCATTAAGGACTTTTCTTCAAGAAGTAAGCCATTCACAAATCGCAGGAATATGGCTCACAGTTTGCCTAGAATGATCACGGGTTGTAACAACTAATCAACTAATCTTACTATCATTGATTATGTTAATCTATGCAAAAATAAATCTTTGAGAAGAATTATCGAAACATTCTTATTGTGTTTTTTTTTACAGAAAACCAGCTTACCAATCTGGCAAGTGTAATCCACGGCACCGAATATTAGTTCAGGAGCTCGGTAATAGCGGGAACATATGTAAGAGACATTGGGTTCACCACGAACTAATACCTTTGCGCTATAAAATAAATATGAAATTTTTAGAAGCGAATAAGCTAAAGAAATAAAATAGTACACACGAATTACAACACAAAACGTATGGCTTCAAATTTGACGCATATCATATATATATATATATATATATATGCATGCAGACAGCACTACAAAATGTCAAGCAAAATTGATGAAGGATTGTCTCTGGTGAATTAAGGCATATAAGTATGCTTGAAGGCTTGACACGTTAGAAATACCATCATGCATCATCATCACCAAGCATAATGAACATGAATATTCCGCAGATCACATGACAACACAACTCATAAAACTACCAAATATTCTTATCTGAATATATATATATATATATATATATATACTCCTAAACGTGTGATTTCGATTCAAAAATATCGCTTTTTATTTCGCAAGGAAGTTACTAAAAACAATAAAATATTTCTCAACAATAATAAGCACATTTGGGCAGTTGATAATAGTATATCACACCAATTACACGAAGGTTGATAATATCTGAATAAATAAAAAAAAACTCGATATAATACAATACAAAAGAGGTGTAGCCTATGACTCAATTACTGATATCAAAAAGTAAGCTCCACTTCCGCAAAAAGTAACCTTTTTAGATTGATATGTATTGTGAAAGCTAATCAGTGTCGGAATTCTTAACCATAATCGCATTTGTAATTAAAATAAATATAAGTTGGAAGCAATTGAGTCGTATACTTCTGTTGTGAAGAAATACAATAAACCAGGTGAGTATCAATTCCTTTACATAATTAATTTTTGAAGATGCCTCTAACCATCTAATATCATCAAATCTATATGCACCGTGATGGCGAGCTACCTCGAATGGTGGCCATATTGCAAATCTGACTGACGGAATTCAGTCTGCACCAAAGAAAGGACTAGACGCATAACACTAGTTACTAGTGTCCAATCAAAGTATCTACTACAGTCCCACAGGAGGTCAATCACGAGCCCGGATAGCTCAGTGGTAACGTCTCTGACTGTAGCACTCACTGGGTGACGCAGGTTCGAATCTCAGAAGGGACATGAGTTCCTTCAAGGTTGTAGATACGCCTTGCTGAGTGGTGAGTGCCAACTAGTACGAAACCTAGGTCGAAGGCTTCCTGTGGCCGATTACCTCCAACCACCTTATACCATCAGATGTGAAATATATCAGCTATTCAACATCACTCTGTCTGCTGTCTGTGTGAACAGTCAAATGGGAATTTAATAAAATCATTGAATAAAAGCCATCTTAAAAGCACTCATCAAATCTGAGATTCCTAAGAAGCAATAACAAAACAGTGAACTTATCAATATTCTCATAGTGATGTTGAGCACTTCTTCTTAGTTGTTCAGATGGAAACAGTTAATGCGTTTAAAGGGGACAAAAAATGAGGGACTATCCTTGGTGTTAACTGATCTTTTAAATCTACGGAGAGCCGGTTGAATATGAGTCATTTGTCGATTTGTGTTACACTTAATTTATATTTAAGTAAATTATAAACTACTCTGCTCTGCTTTTCACATATTCCATTATCTATTTTATTGTAAGAATCATTTCCACAAACACTGAGTAGTAAATAAATAATAATATATCACTATTTTGTATCAAGCGTCAGTGGGACAGTGGTAGAACGCTTGCCAACCATGCATGTAGTCCGGAGTTCGATCGCCAGCCGCCAACGCACTCCTTTACCTCGCTAAGCCAGTAATAAGACTGGTAAAAGAGGGAAGGTTCGGCATATGAAGCTAGCAACCCCATCCCGTAAAAGTAAACACCACTGCTACCAAAACTTCAAGCCTCTAGCTTGAAGCCATATGTTTCACTGGGAATGTAAAGGAATTTTTTTTAATGTAACAAATAAGTGATTCGCTTGATGCATATTCCTGGTTATTTTGAAATGCACATTCTACTGCACACCGCATTTCATATGGAAATCGTTAACAGATTGTAATGATTAGAAATTTTTTTCGACTCAGTCAGTCATGTGACAAAAACTAAATTTACCACCACCAACTGTAATGACCTCAGCAATTTATTTCACAGTTTATAATTCTGTCATACTTCACATAAGCGAAAATATTTATACAACACTGAATTTTTTCCATTCTATGCTTTCCGAGTGGAAGAACAGAAAGTTTTAAGCTTTGAAATTTCAGTAGTCGTGGTATTGTTGATAGCCTGATGCCCAGCCTTTCCTCTTTTCTGAGCTTACTAACTACTAACGGCTGCGTAGCAGATTCGTAATTAGCCATTTTAGTTTGCAATTTACACAGTTGTTCAAGGTGAAATTCCACCATGGTGTTCCCCTATGGAAACCTAAATTATTCAGATTACAATGTGTGATCTGCTTGATATCATGAACGGTAATCACGAAAGCAAGAATAATTGAGTAAGACTATATACTACTGATTGGTTGAAATGAGTAGTTGTACGCCGATCAAATGTGAACCAGATGTGTTTGCGAGGCCAAATCAAAGTGATTTAAACACCGACCAGCCGTTTCGCTCATTTAAGATCGAAGTCATCAGAGGTGTATCCGGTGTTCAAATCACCCTGCTTTGCCATCGATGACATTCTGGAGTCAGCTCTGAAAGATGTGTGTGAAGATGGTGTAGATCTGCTACCTGGAGATAGACTTTTCGACCTCGAGTATGCAGACGATAACGTCTTACTGTGCGATAGCATGCAGGCTGCCCAAATCGCACTTAATCAGTTGGCGATCAGTGTCTGTAAGTATGGTATGTGCTTTGCGCCGTCTAAGTGCAAAGTACTGTTACAAGATTGGCAGGAGCCTGTACCTGCACTCACTCTTGCGGGTGAACCGCTTGAAGTTGTTGATAAGTTTGTGTATCTGGGTAGTTGTGTGAGTGCTGGCGGAGGGGTAACGGATGAGATTTCCAACCGTATAATGAAAGCTAGGGTGGCATACATCAACTTGAGCCACCTCTGGCGCCGTCGCGACGTTGGCCTGGCTGTCAAAGGTCGGGTATACAATGCTTCGGTGCGGGCTGCGCTGCTCTACGCCTGTGAAACCTGGTCTCTCCGGGCTGAGGATGTGCGGCGGCTCTGCGTGTTCGATCATCGCTGTCTCCGCAGGATTGCTTGCATTCGATGGCATCATCGCGTGAGTAATTCTGAGGTTCGGCGGCGTGTGTTTGAACACAGTGGAGATCACCATTCAATGAGTGTCATCATCTGGAAACACCGGCTCCGGTGGCTTGCACATGTGCTGCGAATGTCATCCCAGAGGCTTCCGTAAAAGTCCCTGTTCGCTAGCCCTGGGACGGGATGGAAAAGGCAGACGGGTGGTCAGTCCATGACGTGGCGTCGTGGGATGAAGGATGTTTGTGCTAGATTAGCATCGGTTGATGCATCACGACTCCCTGGTTAGGGTCCGCGAGATAACCCAAATCGATGACTCAAAACGTTATCGGATATGGCCAAGAATCGTAATCAATGGCGAACGTGTTGCGATTTCTTTCTTTCTTCCCTTCCCGATGATAGTTGACGAATACTGTTTGAACTCGTTAAGTATGACTGTTTTCCTTCCAGATGAAGTTCTCTACCCGTTCTCTACTTATATTTTTTACTTTTGATCTATGTTGTCTTATTATTATTGTGTGGCGCATCTTTTTTGGTGCCATATTGTACCAAGTTTTTCTCTGAGTTTAAATAAATAAAATTTTTAAAAAATTTCTGGCTAACGGCTAGTAAACTACGACGACGTTGAAGACCGGGAATTGAACCCCGAACCTTCTGTGTGACTGACTAGCAAGTGTAATACGATTGAATTATGTGTTTATCCATCAAACACAAGAGGAATAAAACTTGTAATAAACTAACCTTCCAAAATCGCATAATTTCAAAACAGCAGTGGTTGGATTTAAAAGTAAATTTTGCGGCTTGATATCTCGATGACAAATACCCTTGTGATGTATGTACGCCAGACTACGAAACAATTGATACATGTACAGCTGAAAGAAGGAATTTTATTCAGGCAAAAAATGAGTTAGTAAACAGTTTTTAACGGAAATTACTGAAATGAACTAATGCACAAAACAATAAAAGAAAACGGGGTGCAACTTTTAGAAAATGAAAAACAAAACTTGTACAAGTTCAAAGACAATTTCTAAAAAGGAGATCTGATGGTTCTCTTCAAAGATCGATCTACAGGAAACCAACATGGAATGGTCAGTACATGAATTTCCATAGTTGGGTCCCTCTGAGAAGAAAGAGAAACCTGATCCTTATACTCACGAATAAGAAGGATATGTTCCAGTGATATAATCGACGGAGAACTGGAGGGACTCAGACAAGTCCTCATAGAGAATGGATACCCTGCAAGATTCATCGAGAAAAACATGAAGTTAAAGCAAAAGCCTGAAAGAACCCAGATGGTGCCGAAGAGACTACTGTTTATGAATGTTGAATTTAAAGGTGATACCGCAGCTGAGATCCTGAAGAATCGGTTATGCAGATCACTGAGGAAAGCCTTCGTTATGACTGAGCTACGTATCAATTTCTACAGCCGACAAATGATCAATGGATGTGTGAAGGATAAACTGCCGCTTTGGGCCACCTCAATGTGTGTTTATAAATTCACCTGCTCGTGTGGAGCTAGCTACATTGACCGCACAAAGCACACGCTGAACATTATCTGGCATGGTTAGCAAAGGGACAATGCAAGACAATTACTAGTTCAATTCTTGAGCATTTGATGAACTCAGGCCACGTAGCTCCAACAGCGTCGTCTTTTAAGATCATCTACAAAGTGAAGCCAAATGGTACAAAGGGCGTCAGGTTTCGGCTTTTGTGCATGGCGGAGGCGCTGGCAATTCGTCAATACAACCCTGAACTCTGTATACAGAAAAAGTTTGTCCAGTCTCTTGAAACCCACTATTGGCGAAATTCGATCAGGTAGGTTTAACTTGACGCATTCATCTTAAAGCAATTGGCTAGTCATAGTTTAAAACAAAGATCTAAATTACAGTTAAATTCAAAGCAATCGTTCAAGCTTTTCTCAACTTCAATTATCATTCATATTACGATAGAGTATGTCGTCACTTCTTAAATTATTTCCTTGAAACCATAATTTTGCAGATATTTGTAAAGTACTACTCGACGTCTGGAATTCCTTCTACAATATTTCTTTTTAATATGCTAATGGAAATATCTCTCTAAGTCCCCTTAGTAGTCAGATATGCGTAAATTACATCAATGTGTAATAATAAAGTACTCTTTCTCTTTTCTTAAAACTCTCCAATAAGGCATCATATTTATATATTTACATCAACACACATATTCATCAGTTCATTATCACCATTAGGGGGGCGTTTTTCGAATTAGACACCGAGGCAGGCTGACCGAAAATTCACAAAATAATTGAGCAAAGAATATTCTTTTTGATAATTTCCTCTTCTGACTGTATAATTATATATATGTTTATATACATAGAATATTCTAGAATAGTAGTCAATAACAATATTAGTGTTTTTTTAAATAATACCGATTTGTAAAGTAAGATCACAATGGTATTACAGTTCATTAAAGATGCTTAGATTATAATAATAATAATAGAGATATAATAACAAACAGAACATCAACTAAAATTAGGGAAATTTCCACAAAAACTGAGGACCATTCAAACCTAGATGACCAAGGTAAGGATAATGTCTGAACTAGCTCCTTCTGGACGCATAAATTAGACTTCTTAATGTGGATCCCGAAAGCCTCAGCAATATTTAGCAGTCGAACTCTTAAGGTGAAGTTAAGATTTGTTGGTATGCGCGATAGATGACTTTGAAAGCCTGGTTAACATCAATCTTGTGTTCTGTATCCACAAGATGATATAGAATAGCGCTACGAATGGATTTTTTTGTCCTTTAATTAACCACGCAGGGTGATTGATGTTCGGAAATCCGACGAGAAACACGCCTAATTGTACGGCCTATGTAACTGGCACGACAGGAGCAGTTAAATTGTTAGATACACAAGGAAGAGGTGACAAATGACATGTGAATTCTTAAAGTCTAACCCAAACTTAAGTTTTAGACCTTTACAGATACTCATGAATGTCAGCAGTATTGACGATAATTAATAATGGTGGAATTACTTGTTAAAATATGTTGTGACCTCTTTTTCCTCATGTGACGTAATAAGGTCATGGTAAATAGGGTGTTACAAATAGTTTTGTATCATTTTATTCAAACTAAGCAAAGGTGTAGAGGAAACTTTCTTTTTACTTATTTCGCTATTTTTACTGCAGGAAATACAGCAAATTTAGGTCACCATGAAAAGCAAAGAGATGTTTTAAATTCAAGGTTGAAGAAAACATAAAATCTAGGCAGTATATATGTTACAGAACTGCTTTAAAATTTGGCATAGTTGAAGATAGCTTTGGATTCATGATACACCACCTTACTTTCTATAGATGAAACACTATTACAAAAGGTATGTGATCTAGAGAAGGCAAAGGCTAATCGAAAACTGGGTGAAAAAGTTCAAATGTACGTTTTTTTTCTAGCATAGCATATACTCAGATTTCACCAATGTGTATCTACTTTAATATTGGCTAGTTTTGTTCCACTCACATAAAATTTTTTTAAAAAAGTATAATTGGACAAAACTTTTTACAAAATCTAATAAAATAGAATATGCTTTGATGCCTGTTTCTTTAGAAATCAGCTGTGATTTGGATAATGAGGCCTTTATTAATACATGTTCATTGGTTTCACATTTTTTACCACATCTCTTATATAAAGCCAGATTGATTTAAAAGCCTACAATATTTCCAGTTAATCAATTAAAAGGTTTACGCGTTGTTTTTTTTCAAGAGATCACCTGACTACTTGCTAATAGGCAAGGTTGAATTTCATGCATTATTAATTCAACTACATATCTTAATTTGTATTCACTTGCATATAAATCCCTTGTGAATTGTTCTTATATGAATATTTAATACGTAATCAATCATTCACAGTTAGTAAGTAGAAGCAACTGAAGAAGTGTTTATATTGCAACAGTTACAGTACAATCCAATTTCTATATCGGTATGAAGAATTTATAACACCTTGCCTAGTTTAGTGGCTCACTAGTCCCAAGCCCGGGGAAAAGTGTGAGGGTTGGGGATATGGGGCCAGAGACCCTACCCTGGAAAATCAATCCAATCGCTAGAGAAACTACGAAGCCTCCAAAGCCTCAGGATGGTCGGGGGTGGGTGCCTTGCGCTGCGGGTTGGCCACCCCTCCGCACACCTCTTGAAATGCTCCCATATGACCGGGCGTCTTACATAGCCTCTCCTGAGGAAGTCCTACTCACTGCCTTCACGTGGCGGAGGTGTTTTTTTTCACCAAAGTGAGAGGGCGAAAGCGGATGTCCGGCGCTCTTCACCGGGTTGACTGTCCATTGGATGATAGTCTAGGGGAGACGGCTAAACCCTGATTCCAAACCTCCAACGACTGGAGTATGAAGCTCACTGGAGCTCACCGGCAGACGTATGGACAAAGGGCTTGTTGGATGTCCTGGATGTCTGGCCCCATTCAAAAAGGCGTATGAACCGAACTCCGGTCACCGGCTGCCAATGGATAGTGGACTCTCTACTCCACTCCTACTGCCTTGTAGGTCACACTTGGTTGTGTAAAGGCTAGAGCTGCAATCTCAAACAAAAGGCCGGGCGATTCTGGGGACATCATTCGTACCAAATTCCCATGAAACTTCATGAACTCCCTTACAAACGATTCGAGATGTTCATGAAACCGGCTCATCCTCCCGTAGGAGATAGCCGAAGTAAAGTAAAGTAAGTACAAGGGAAATATAACAGACAAACTTTTTCTCCGCTGGAATCGGAGAGACGAAACGACGCAAGCTGGTGAAAGCCTTTAGGAAGCCAGTCAGCCAATGTGTCTTCTTTCGATGAAAGCAAAAATAAGCATAGGGACATGGAATGTTTGCACAATGTGCAGAGATGTGCTGCTGAAGCTCTATATCCCACTCGGAACCCAAGGGAATAATAACAATAATAGTAATAATAAATGAGGAATTTATATATATTCTGAGACTATAATGCCAGCACGCATGTACTCATGTAATTATTATTTCTAGCTCGTAAGTTATTGCTCCGTCCTCCCCGTCTTCACAAAATACTTCGTGTACACAGAAGTTGTTATAAATCCAGTTAAAATATAAATAGATTGTATATATTTTTTCTTATATTTAACAGCTCAGAAATAAAAATTTCTATTAATTTGTACTTTTCTTTTGAATGAATTCAAACTGATTGATCAAAAAAAACTTATCACAATTCTTTCTTATCTCATTAAAAGCTTCAATTTATAAGAAGAAAAAATCAAAGCTTGATAAATTTCTCCTTGACTTATTAATCCTAGTCCATTGGGTGTGTGTGTGTGTGTGTTTGTCCATTGTAAATAGTAAAGTACATTTATGATAATTCCTCAAGGACATTATGTGGAATCAACCAATAGCATACATAAAAACCATTGGAAATAATTAAAGTCAATAAATTGTGTGAAATAAATGTGGTATACTATATATATATATATATATATATATATATATATATTTGGGGAAATGTCGATAATAATTCTATTATAAAGGATAGCAAACAGTAGATATTCATGTGATACAACATAACATTGAACAAAACATTCTTAATGAAACGTCTAATTTGAAACATATGCGATTATAATAGATATAAAAAGCTATTTCTTCCTCAACTGTACAGAAGTAGTATTATCCTAATTTTTTTCTCATTTTTTCCTACTTCCGTAGGTAACAAAGTACTACGTATAAAGTTGTCCATAAAGTACACTCTTGGTTTGTATTTCTTTCATAGCTGAATGCCCATATACTCAATGTTCAGTAGGGTTAAGTATATTTTTCAGCTTATGTCAGTTTAACTGAAATTATAGAATCTCTAATTCTTTACACAACTTGTCTAAATTGCATTCTTTCACGGAGAACTATCTGTGACATGCTAGACTGTATGGAGGTGAGTAAGGTCTGAATATCTTGATGACAATCAACTTAATTGTTGATATATATATATATATATATACGCTTAACACAAGTTATACAAGAGATAGAGTTATCAGAGTGGTAGATAATACCAACAAATATATGCATTGAATAGTTACAGGATTTTATCATGAGCTGACATTGGAAAACCTGGGAGTACTGAACAGCTGTTTCGTCTCAGTATGGAACTCTTCAACAGTACGCACCCAACACCATAGTTCGAACCCAGGACCTTCTGGTTACAAGGCGAGCTCGTATACCATTAAGCCACTGGGACCCGATCCAATGGCCCATGAATTCTAACTTCTGCTAATTGTGTAACCAGAAGGCCCTGGGTTCGAACCCCGGCGGATACGTACTGCTGAAGAGTCCCAAACTAGGACGAAGCAGGTATCCAGTACTCCCTGTTGGTTTTCCAATGGTTCTCTAACCAATGTCAGCTCATGATGAAATCCTGTAACCAATCAACCAAATCCCTACAAACCAATACTTGAATATGCGTTGAATATTTGACTTAGTTTAGCACCGATATATCCACGCTAGGAGAAGGCAAAACAGCATCCGTGAAAAGTGCACAACAAACACGCAGCGCTTAAGGTGTTCATATATTTGAGAGTCATTTTTATGTATTCAATGAATCCCGATCGTATGTTAGACCGAAATGAATAGCAGGGCAAAGTGAAACTATCATAGCCAAAATCAAGGTGACCTTGAACAGTCAATCAGAATTCAGATGCAGAAATCTGTATAATCATAATGAAATAATTCGCTAATTAGCATTCCAAACATAACATTACACTGTATAACTGTGTTGTAAAAATCTCTCCCAGTTACTGAAAGCATAATCCATAGAGAAATCATAACATGTGCTATATATATATAAAATACCCAGGTGGCTGTAGGTTATAGTACTTTCGGATTCACTCCTTTTCCTGACACTTTTCTTCAACCTAACCGGAACTCTAATGCTAATCTTAACCCTACTTAATAGTCTAGATTCACAGAAAAAGTACCTAAGGAATAAGTAAACTACTGTACATATCCACACCGAATTCATAAAGACAGGCAGAATTTGATTAGGAATGACCTTTCGTAGTGTTCTCTGAAGCTTATTGGCTACGCTCAAGGTCAACTTTTCACAGACCTTAACTTCGGCTATGATAGTTTAACTTTGCTAATATTAGCAGTTTTGTAAAAGTGGAAACGGCACAAAAAACACCAACGAAAGTCATTTTTTATTGTCAGCAGTAGGTTCGTACAACTGTACTACGACTCAACTACCATTACAAACTTAAAATACAGTGACGAATAGTGAAAATAAGTGATTTCGTTAGTAAGCGTCTAATCTACGCTTATGTAGGCTGTGATTGACAGCATAGAATTATACACGTCCTCTGCACCGAAACACGTAAAGGGGAACTGAATTTAGAATCTGTTGTCTGAAAGTCTAATTATTGCTTAAGCTAACCACCTACAAGCATTGTGTACTTTTATCCTACCCTTCACATTCAAACTAAATCCTTTAAGATTTTTTTCTTTTTCTTAGTGAACATAAGGACATTGAGTCACAAGATACAAAAGAGAAATGGCGATAATTTTCTTTTTATCTTTTCGACTGATTGACTCACTAAAAATATGTTTACGTGAAATAATTAATTGCATTGGAAAATAATATTCATGTCCTAGTCTGACAAGTGAGATGAGTGTTTTCTCATGGATAAGGATAGAATTTTAGACAGATAAACATACTGATAAAAAGAGAAGGAAAAAAATGTCTCCCTTAGTAACAAAAGGAGTGATTGTACAATTATTTCCAATATAGAAATCAGTTGTTAGAAAACAAAATCCATTATATATTGTACTGATAATCACTTGAGACAAAAGTGAAGGTTTGATGAGTAGAAGCCGATCCACACCTAAGAATAAAAATAAAATTACCTTCACAAACAGAAGTGGGATTGTTTCTTTTTGGCGGGCATATCGTCGGGCAACGCGATAAACTGTTTCCGGGATGAATTCAAGAACCAGATTTAAATATACTTCATCTTTCTAGAAAATAAAAAGTGAATGAGAAATTAAGAGACAAAATAATACAATCTAAAGTGATTCTAATACTTTGTAACTACTTTTGATTGCACACTAGTCAGGAACTAGTGTAATGTATCTAGTCCTATCTTCGGTGCAGGAACTGATGTTCCTTCTGAGATTCGAAAGCACGTCACCCAGTGCTGCAGTCAGAGACGTTACCACTGAGCTATTCAGGCTCGCGACTGACCTCCTGTAGGACTGTATTGGATATTTTTGATTGCACACTAGTCAGTAACTTTGTAACCACTAATAAGTAATCGAGTTCTTAAATGAATTTAAGGATAACAAGTTATAAGTAACAAAATAAAAAGACCTTTTAGATATGCTAACATGATGATCGGTAGTGCATTCAACAACTTTATACTGAAATGATGTTGATATCTGATAGAGAGTTGAGGAATCTTAGTCTTGTAACAGCCCAGTTATACATACTGATTAGTAATAATAAACAAAATCTCTCGACGGATTGCCTTCACAAGAAGCATATATGCAGGAGTGGCAGCTGTACATGCCAAGAATGCAACAAAACATTTAATAGAAAGTGTATCACATGATCCGAGGTTCGATCCCCAACGGACGCACTGCTGAACCTCGCCAAACCACTAGTAAGCCCAGTGAATAGGGAAGATTGGGTGTGAGGCTAGCAGTCCCACTCCGTAAAGAATACGTCTGTTACTGAAACCTGAGCTTAAGCATGAGGCCGTAGGTTCCACTAGGAACACAAAGGAATCAAATAGAAATAAATAAACAATGACAAAGTAATTTGCATGTATACTTTATATTAAACAGATGACCTGGCGTTCCGATGAAAAAACTACGCGATCTGAATAAATTCTTCCTACAGTCATTTGCAGGACTAGAACTGCGTACAGTATCATAATGTGGCACAAGTATTCGAGTGTCTAGCCTAATTATCTGAAGGTTCACGTGGTGAAATGACGTACCGGAGCCATACATTCCATATTGGTTTATTTATTAGATATATCACACAGTGAAACAGTATTTTACAAGTGGCATTCAAACCCACAAACTCGTTTAGAAACAAGCCTTATCGGTTAAAGGATCCTGTGAAGCCAATAAAACAAAACAATTTAGTTTATCTAATACTCTGCCTGCAATGATTGTCAGGTCAAATACATAGATCAAAGTAGTAGGACAGGGGCAGTCACTCTAGAGGAGCATAAAAACGTAACAAAATCTAGATGAGTTGACCCGAATAAGAGAAATCTGGAGAATAGTTCAGCCGTAGATAGCACCATATGCAATTACACACAACCATACAATAGGGTGGATGGAATAAGATGATAGTTTTAAAAACTAATGTAACAGGGTGGAGGGAGAAATTGATAATGGAAGCTTTATTTATCAAACCAGATGCAAACACGTGTAATAGGAGTGATTTAACACCTGTCCCAGACATCTGGAAAATTCTACTACCCCTACGACAAATAGAAGAGAACAAAGAAAACTCAAGTTTCAAAGTCGTGTGATTATAATTGATATGATTATGAACAATAAATTGTGTTCGAAACGTCACCCAGTAAATAATACCGTTTCACTTTGTGGCATATCTAAAAAACAATCTAATATGGAATTACTTACTACCACAGTGCCCAAGTTACACACATATATTTATATTTCCCGATTATTAGTAAAAGCGTAAGAACTTACTCTCTCGCCCACGAAATGAAAAAAATACTTCAGCTGAACAATATTTGGGTGATCCAATTGTCGCATGATTTGTAGTTCACGATTCTAAAAGAAAATAACAATGATAAACAAATAAGCAGCTGGCTTAGTGGTGAACGTGTTACAATCACGTGGTAGTTGGGTGTTAACCTCGGTGATTGAAGGAAAACAGAAACTTTGTCCTTATTCGGGCTTCATAACTGCGTCATTAGGGTACAAGTTTTAGACAATGGGTGTAAAAAAATCGCTGGTGCATTTTAACAACAGTTAGCTAGTATATTCCTAGTAGTATAAATAGCTGTCAGAGCTTAGCATTTTTTAGCAATGAAATATAACGAAGTAAACACAAGTTTAAATAAGTAGAAACGTGTGGCAGTGGGAAAATTGAATAAAATGCTCAGTATGACTGAGATTTTCTTCGACTTAGGATATGTATTTATTTAATGTCACTTTCCTTCTCATGAACACTAAACACAAAGATTCAAAGAAGCATCAAACTCATTAAAATAACGTTCACTAACTTTTAACTATCATAATCAATAGTACAATATTTACACTATATTGTTACAGAAAAGAATAGACTTCGATAGTTAAATAAAATACATCAGATTTCTATCTTTGAATACCAAACTGTGACTAACCATCCAAGAAACTGTGGAACCCAGTAGTATGAGATATCATGCTGCAGGTTCATGATACCCTCTTTTTGTGTGTGACTGCTTTTCACAGCATTGCGTTACATTTACTACTCATTACTTCATGTTTTCTGAGTGTTTTAATTGTTAGATTCTCGTCACGAACCATGATCAGTTGAGGGACTAACGGAAACCAGGGAGCACTGGAAAGCTGTTCCATTTCTATTTTGGGACTCTTCAGCAATGCGCACACGCACCTCCTCCGGGGATCGAACCTGGGACCTTCAGTTAAGGAGACCAAGCTCGTCGACTATTCAGCTGCTTGGGCTGGAATTCAATGACCCCTGAATTCTATCTTTGTCAACTCGCGATATAGCGCTTCCTTCACCAATGCCTTCAATGAGCACCCACTTCACCTTGACATGATAGACCCCGCTGGTTGTGACTTCCCACTGCTCCATCCAGTGGCCATCAATGAGCTGGAGATTGATATTCAGGCTACACGATTTTGTTATATTACTCTAGGTGTTTCATTTACTACTGCCTATGAGGTGCTGAGTTTGTAGAAAAAATAAATGGTAAAGGTTATGATCCCAGACTCTATAATATTGTGGGATTTTTTAAGAGTACACCTACACAGTTACTCAGGAATCTAAGTATTAAACTATCGATCACTGATAAAAATATGAACCATACTTTGGTTTCTTATTTAGTTGCTTAGTCAGTAGAAGTAGCTAGCAAGCAATAAACTAAGCGCATAATCCAACACAGATATTTGAATGACACTAGAGTTGCCTATCAATTTTTTTCCTTCACGTTCCCCAGTGGAACATAGGGCTTCAAGATAGTGGCTTGAAGTTTCTGTGGCAGCGCTTATTTTACAGGATGGGGTTGCTAGCCTCATGCCCAACCTTTTCTCTTCACCAGCATTATTTCTGGCTTAGCGAGGTAAAGGAGTGCGTTGGCGGCCGGGGATCGAACCCCGGACCATATGCATGGTCGCCGAGCGTCCTAACCACTATGCCACCGACGCACGCCTATCAGTTTATTTGCTAAATATATCAATAAAATCAACCAGCAGTCATAACTGTCTTCAAACAGACTTGGAATAACATGGTGTTGGTATTAAATAAAGTGGCTATCAATCCATGCATGAAATGATAAATTGTCATTATAACTTCAAGGTTTAGTGATAGAAAGATATTAATTACCATATATTTGAACACATATTCAGCGTACTGCCGATGATTCCCAAAACTAGGATGAAACAGCTGTGCAGTAATCCCTGGTTTTCAATGGTTCTCTAACTGATATCAATCCGTGATCAACTCGTAAAGAACAAAACTAACCCTTACAAACTAAACTATAGAAAATATTATACTAACACTTAGATTTTCCGGTATTTTATTCTCTAAATTTGCTTTGAATCCCAATAGTGTATAGTGTGTTAGGTATACTATCTTATATAACCTTTCACAAGTTACAAAGTCGCTAGGTACAATGGGATGAGCTATCCAGTCAAGTGAAAGCACTTGAGTATATCACATTACTAAAAAAGTACTGGTATATAAGCCTGGTAACTCATTTGCTGGAAATTGTAGATACTAAACATCCCGTCATTGTTTACTTCATGTTACATAAAATCAACTTTTTTTAACTTTTGATCCGGATAAACGTAACACGGTAACTATTCATGGAAAAGTGTTGTTAACTAGTAATACAATGTTCTTCTATTCCAGAATAAAGTTGGAGACAACAGATAAATCTATAGCGAAAGTAAAAGACAGTTGTTTGAAACGGATCATAACGAAGACAGTGTGTAGATGGACGACAATCAACTAAAGCTAAAAGTGACAAATAATATGATGGTATGTTACTCAAAAACACATGCATATTAATATCATCCGCAGGGTCTGAATACACTACTTGAAGCAGGCTTGAAGGCGTGACTCACTGGTAAAAAGTCGAATACTTAATCCAAGTGGTACAAGACTTTCACAAGAGAAGATAAATTTCTCAACTTCACCGGGTCAGTGAATGAATAGTTAGTGGAAGGACTGGAAACACGAATATGCCTGATTTTTGAGTAACACAGTGATGTTTATTTATATCCCAGGATTAACCATGGCACATTACCACGAACTTAGTCCACCAACTGTCCCACTGATGGTTATTGGTTAGAAGAGAGTTACCTGGAGCAGATTTTTTTATGTACCACATTTATTGCATGCGTGCCGATTATACCATCCAATCGCCTAGACTGAAGCATATGGATAAGGTTTCAAACCCGAGATCCATATGTTCGCTTCTGGTGTAAATAAAAATAACTAACACCCACCTAACATTTAAAAAGCTTTAAAATCAATAATTTCTGACACGTGAATCACGAACACAACGGCTGGTGGATGATGACATTTCTTCATGGACCATTTGATAAAGACTCAATTAAACAACAGAACTGAATCCAAGAAAATCAAACTTAGTGAATACAGGAAGAATCATAAAGAAATGACTAAAGAACAGTCTTATCGAACTTCTACCACTGATAAAAATTATGTGGGACAAGAATTCCACAACAACAGATAACTTTACTACATGGGATATCACTCAATCTATAGGAATTCCCGTACACCAAACACAACCACCTCGCTAGTAAAAGTAGGCAATCAACTCACCAACCGAATTTCTGGGTGAAAAGTAGAGTCGAAACACAGAGATGATGGAGGAATGATCTTCTTCTCTGCGACTTCACTTTTTGCTCCATTCTACTCAAATCAAGACAAAAAGATGAATACCGTTCTCCGGGACAATTAAAATATAAAACCTAGTAAGAAAATACAGGAACAAGTAAAACAGGAATCTATGGGAATGCAGAGATCAGGAGTGGTTATTTAAGCAGTTGATGCGACAGTTGGACTCAGTCACCAATGTGTTGGTTGAACCTCAAATTTGAATTCTACATGCTGACAATACTTTTTAAAACGCTTGAAATAAGAGTAAAGTTCAAATTCGTCAATCAAGTATTTGCAAGAATTCAATCAACAAAATGAAATTGGTAATTAGAAAGATAACTGAACATAAAACAATACTTATCTTGAGGCAACCTGGGATCACATCTGCTATAGAAATAGTATTACAGGCTGTTGATAATATGCGGTCAAAGGCATACAAATGTCAGAAAATTTACGCAGTTCCATCCAAACTGATGATACGAAAGGACTGATTTCATCCGACCCCGACCTCGCGACAGGCGTTCCACATATCAAACTCGCAACGAGTGTGAACAGTGGTGGGTGACGATTGCGAAGGAAATGGAAAAGGCAACATCACTGTGTATGCTCAGTGGGGAAACAGGCCCTAAAAAACCCTGGTGAACAAAATGATCTAGAAGGATGAAACTTGATAACTTTTCATCAGAGACGACTGGAAAGTTGGATAGAACATTTTGGAAAGTAAATTAACTGGCCTACATTTGTGCTATTGTTGCCCACTAGACAATACCCACATCAGTGGTCGATAAAATCGGTCATCCAGCCATAACTACGGCTGCAAAATCCGCTTGTTTACGAAAACGGGGTAAAGCAGAGATACTTGATGGTATAATTGTAGAGATGTTTAAAGATGGTAGTAATGGCTTATTGGCCAGATTAACCATGGTATTAGCTAGCGTACAATGATCTGAAATAGTCCCATTGGAATATTATAGCTAATCAATCACCACAATTTATAAAAGAGGGAAACATCTTTCTGGATAGTAACAGGGAAATCAACAAAGTTTATATCCACTAGTCCAAATTAAACAATGCAGACAATGGGTATTTATGATGAAAACCACTTTTGTAAGCCTTGAAGTTCAAGAAAAGAAAATATGAATACAACTAAATCATGCCGCTAAGAATAATCAAGTAAGATAAAACACCATATACAACGCGTGACCAAAACACTAGCGAGAAAATAAGTATGTATGTACATATTTCATTGGATTTCAGTCGAGGGACTGGTGGATAATGTTCTAGGTGAAGATTAACTAGCAAAAACAGATAATTTCGCTTTGTATATGTTGACAGATCCATCAACTTGCTTTCAGGAAGCCTGTATGTTCGAAGTCATCATTAAATGATGTGAGATCCTCTTAAAATATGAAGACCAAGGCATAACTATCGACAGGTATAACAAGCAATATTTCAATATATTGATCCTTTGCCTGCTAAATCCGGTCACAAAAGTCACAAACATTTTATATCAACAGAGATTTGACATGTATCAACCCCAGTCGATTAACAAAACTCAGTTACCTTAAAACGCCTGTCCTGCAGAACCTTTTTAACAGCAACAATTTCATCGGTTTCTATAAGTCTGGCTTGATAGACAACACCAAACGACCCATTTCCGATTACTTTGGCATCGGTATACGATATTTCTTTGGACTTATCACCTTGTGGCAAATAGGCATATACCGTGACTACTTTGTTCACATCCTTTTCTGAATTAATGGTATGAAATACTAGAAACAGATCTTACGACTCATTTTAAATCAAGTCATTTGATTAAATTAGCTTGCGAGAACAGTGTAAATGGCGCCAAGGACAAACTTGAATAGGCCGGCTTTATTCAAACCTCAATAGTGGTCCTCGGTCTACAGAATTAATTGAGTTTGTCTCTGTTAAGATATAAATCCCCTAAGAAAGTGTTCCTCATTGTAATGGGTACCGCTCGATTTGGCTTCGAGTCTCATTGCTAACCACTCTTCGTGAGAATCGTAATTCGATAGCAGTTTAAATGCCTTTAGTGGTTGCCTCTAGGAGATATTCCGGATGTATGGGGAAGGTTATGGATGCCACTCTTAGGCGATCCAGATGATATAAGTCGGAATAAACAGAATCGTCAGTACTCTACAAACACCCAATTCTTCGAACTTCCGACTGAGATGGAGCATGCGGCTTTTGACTGTTAATTACTTATGCCTGTCTATTCCTTTTTAGATTGGTCAGGCGAAAAGTTTCTAGAAATTACCTCTTAGAGTTCATTCAATATGGCCGATAATTCACTGGATAACTTATATTCCTTGGTTGATGTTTCACCTCTAAATCTGAGATTTACAGGTATGTGTTGCAGATTATTAATATTTGAAGGGGAGGGAGAGTGTTAATTGTATTTCTATATGGTCTCAAATTATTCCGCCCATCTTAAAAAGCCTTCGAATGGGCATAAATTCCTTCCTTAATTAGCTGAGCTCATTTGAGTTAGCTGTCTTTCAACAGTGATTGACCTGAATTAAGTAGTAAACTAATTTCATGACAATTATTAGTTAAAACCCAACATAGATTAGAGCTTAGAATTCTCTACGCGATGCAGGTATTCAGACTTCTAGAGGTCGGCGGCACGTAAAAGGAACCGGCACTCCACAGTGACGTGGTTCTTCACTAATGTTTGTACTATCCTTCTTTGCTCTTCGGGTTGTTCCGAGCTGATGAGAAAATATTAAGGATGTTTTATTGGTCCTTTCCCGAAATTATGCGCACCATTAGATCTTTCCTCTCCATATGATGTGATAACAAAAAGACATCCGTATGTTTGCCCAACATATGTTAGTTATAACGGAAGGGAGAAACTACTAATCACTGATTTGTATGCAAGCTGTGGATTGAACTTCCGGAGTTAACTTAGATCCAAGGATTTACTTTTGAATTTCTACTGACAATTCACTATGTCGCTAGAAGGGATTCCGCTTGACATTTTACGCAGCTGAGTAGACGGCCTCAATTTCCAGCTATTTACCCTTTTCATGCATCCCAAAACTTTTTCTCATCGTCTCAATGGGGCATGATATTTCAGTGGTCGATCAGAAACTGTCATATATAGAAGTGCTATGGGTGAACAACATCAGTCCTTCTAGTTTAAAACCAGAAATTTCGAATAAGTCCCGAAACAAATAATGCACTATTTATTGGCAGTGATAGGTTACGACGTTTTTGCTGACAAATGGCCATATATTAATCCTGACAGAGTGAGATCTTTGGTGACCCAACTGATACCAAAGTACGTGTGATCACCTGTTTGTGTGAAATGGTACCTCCCGGTTTTGAGTAAATGATACTTTAACTGATTAAAAATGCCCACAATCTACGATGAAAATGGTGACTAGTAATATGTTCCCCTTCCATACAAACAATTATGAATCGGCCACATCAGGGATCACGTTTATGTCCATTCATCGAACTGTATGTAGTATTTGTGAGTTACCTTCCAATGAATTGCTTATTGCTTGGATCCATATTCATATCTAGACCTCACGATGTGTGCATAAGTGCGTGCGAATATGTCACTGGTGATCCTGAGGTGACTTGACGTACTGACATCACTTCATCTGAAGTGAAGGGAACGGTTTCGTTGCTAGATTTTATGAGCTTGTGCTTGTAAACCCAGTGCTTCTTGTTGCACACTTCACACGAACATACACTTTTTCGACTAGCATTACAGCTACCCAAGCTTTCTCTGCAATGTACACACCTGTTAAATCCCTCTCTGGATATTTGGGTGGTTGGCACAGTGAACATAGAAGACTAATGGTGCTGTGAACGTTCGTCCGAACACAGGGAACATAATGAGGAGTAAATCATATTATCTAGCTACCCCTCAGCGTGCATTACATAGGAAGAAAGTTATCACCTGACCCTGACTCATTTTCTCCAGTAAACATGGCATTTTTCCAAGTGAGTTGGTTACCTTCGATGTCAAAACTTTCCATTTACATGAGTGGCATGATATGTTGTGCCCAAAAATACTTCGCTGAAACTAGGGACCTTGACACCATCATGTTTCCTGTTACCCTCGCAAGTAACCCAACTTCCTCTTGCCGTTGGTTTTGTCAAGTAGGATGCGTTATCTCTAAGTACATGCTGTGTGGTGGATGGCATATTGCTGTTGAGCAAGTGAATTACAGTAGTTTTTAACGTTTATTTTTGAAAGCACGGGGAAGGGCACGCGAAGAGGGGAAACCCTAGTGGATATGTGGAGGGGCATTCGCCACTCAGGGAATGGACGAAGCCTCACAAATCACAAAGTTCCTGCTTGGTTACTGATCTCATCCTTCCGAACTACATATCGCCACCATACTTTGGGGATGGAGTCAAACGTTTCAGTCACTAAGTCTTGCCAACGTAGATTCGATATTATATCCTGAATAATGGGCTTAATCAGTACCATATATCCCACTGGGGCTATTAGTTTTCGGCGTCAATATAAACTATTTAAATCCATCTAGAGAGGGCTTCATTTGGCGTATGAATTCCACTGTGGATTTCTTAACTTCATTTTTAAAAATACCCATTTATTTGATAATTTCTACATATGGCCCTGTCTGCGTGCAAGCATTTACCTTCTTCAACTAGTTTGACTGCTTAATACTACTACTGAACTGCCAATGTGTTATTTAGCGATAATTATATATCCATGTTATTCTAGAGGCTTTCAGAGATTCTATCTCTGGTTTCGACAAGTTGGGCCTTTCTGATTTTTCTCGTTTTATTGTCAGTGCACAATGTAATCGTACTTCATTTACTATCGTTTTAAATTTACCATTCAGTGCAATCTCTTGTTTAGTGCTGTCATCTTATGGTTTCAGCTTGTCTACTGATATGATGAAACTTAGTCCCTTCCTCAGTAATAATGGTACATTTATTCCTATGCAGGAACACACAAATTATACAGGCATTGATAAGCATAATTTGAATTACACAATGCACTTATTCCTCTAGGACTTAACACTTGTTCTGAAAAAACGATAACCCCTTCCAGTTTATCGACCATCGAGGACCTTATATTGCTCGTCTCATTGGTGGAAACCCGGCAGACTACCATCACGTTTTTAAGGAGAATAATTTCAAGCTGAGAGGCGTCAGACTAAGTGACGCAGTAAAATTGGTGTATTTATTGAGGCATTGTACTGGTTTTGCGGCTAGCTCTAAAGGATGGGTATTCTGAAGCAAGGCGTATATTGTTACAAAGGTGTGAAAGACCGTCCATGATTTCCATGTGCGCGCTTGACATTGTTGGGGGTGATGGCAAGTGTTAATGGATGGCCTCAAAAGCTTTTACCTTGTTTTAGACAATCTGATGACGTATAAAAATACCTTGATTTCCCTGAATACTTTCAAAGACTTGGATTCAGGCTATCTTTCTGAAGTATTACCAGACACTTACCCACCTGACTACATAGACTGGGTATAAATCAGTGGATGATGAAGCAGACAGATTCATGATCATGGGGACAATCATTCTTGATGAAAATCTCATAGGGAACTGCAAAGCTGGGGGATATATCATATGTGGTAGCACACATTCTCTTCATGAGTGTAACGATTTTCTTGACATATCTCGATTGGAAAGAATGGAATCCACGGAGCCGAAACAACCTCATTCAGCTTACCTGAAAGAAGGGCACATGGAGTCAAACTGTGGAGCAGAGAGCAAGAATGGCGCTAGCGAACCAGTAGAAGTGCACACATTGGTGTATAATAATGATAAATTATATTTCGCATAAACTGGTGTTTACAAAAGTGCATGCCATTTTCACAGGCACTATTACTTACGTTATAAACTACAATCCTGAAGTATCATAAATTAATACTTTTTCAAAAGTTTAAATTGTTCAATTATTGTACAAGCAATCAGAACAGGTTATCATAAATGTTAAATTGTAAACCGCTTACTAAGGTCACCATTAAAGTTGAGCGACAACCCAAACTTCGTTCCGTTGCTTGCTGATAGTTATGGTCAACCAGTGAACAGCGTATGTTTAGGTAAGTGCTACGCCACCACGTGATTAAAAGCTATTTCCGGAAGAGAAGAATATCCTGGAAAACTGCAGAATGGCGTAAAATACAGTTATGGATAATACATCACTGGAAGTACATTTACAAGATATATACAAGAAGGAGGTGGAGACTCCTTGGAATGATAGTATACATTTGCAATGTGTAATGCTAACCATATTGGTCCAAGCATGGAAACTATGATGTTTTCGATGAAGATATAGCGTTGGTGTTGTTGTGTTTTAAACCAAAGCAACCAGACTTTGGACAAGCAACAAATATGAACAAAGAGCAAGTTTAAGCTTTAATAATTGCCTAGGTAGTTAACATAAAGTAGAGTATAATAGTGCGTAAATAAAAAGATTATTGTGAGGTAGGTAAGTGATATTTAAGTGAGGAGTGAATTCAAAGATCTGGAATATTAGAACCCGTAGGACAAGCTGACCTATAAGATGTCTCACGAATTTCTGTAGGGCCCGTGGAGTAGCATCTTGACAAGAAGCTGAAAAGGCTTGTAAATGGTTGTAGCAAAATCAATTTTTTATAATTTGGATCTGTACAACCCTTATTAATTTTTTGGTCAGGGTCTAGGCTAATGTTTAACTCTTGAGCTGTCGAAAAATGCATGTTGCTGTCCTACAGATCGGAGCGATTCACATTTGTGACCACTGCCATATCTGCCGATCAGCATGCGCCACCCTCCCTCCTTTTTTGA